TCCTCTACACTCCTGGATCTTTTCCTTCGGTGACTCTTCTGGAAACGTCAAGTGGGCGGCACCAAGATCATCCAGCCAATCAATATACCCGAGTGAATTCAGGGCAGAATACGAAATTCATTCAGCGGGGAGATATTCAGGCATTCAGATACACGCCAGGCCACAAACGGTTGGCAGGAGCAATTTCAAATTCAGTCCCCAGAAATTCACAGGGCACATAGTTTATGTTAACAGGAGAAAAACATGGCAAGGAACAGATTTTCAGATAAGATACTCAAAGTGGCAAGGCAACAAAACATAACACAATTGTTTTCTTAAAAAATGCTTAGTTGTAGCATTCACTGAAACATAATTTTAAGTTTCTAGTGTCCCAATTTACTGTTGCAAAATCATAGGATGTAATATTTACTTGTCAAAGTAGACTGCGGCCAAATTAAGATTTCCTAACTAATCTAAGAAAACAAAATACTAAGATAGCAAATAAAACTGAAGTCCTAATTTGGGGAAGAAAAAATTTTTTTTGGTATACAAGAATAACACCATGACACTTTAAACGCCATCTGAGCTGATCTCCAAATTAATACACATTCCATAATGTTCAAATCTGTTAAATGGTGGGCTTAGTGAAAAAAAAAAAAAAAAAAAAAAAAAATTAGAGCGAATGTGTTGCTAGAACAAAGTTACATCTAATCCTCATCATACAAATATAAAAGGCCTAGTCTACTTTTGTGGTTAAGGCTTCAATTTATCAAAAATCAGATTTCTTGAAGTACCATGAAAAATCTGTCAGACTAAACTGCTATCACTGCAATAAACTAACCTAAATTAAATCCCCTCCACTATTTCATGGAAATGACAGTTGCCAATTAATAACAAAACCTATTAAGTAACTAAATATATACTGTACTTAGGGCATTTCCTATCCAATGCACAAATAGAAAGGATCCTGCAAGTTAAAATTGAGATAACTTCATCTTAAACAGAACTTTCTCAAATGGTCAAACACAAATTAAAGTTTCTTGCTCCAAGGGGAAATAAAATCTCCAAAGGTTTTGAAAGCGCTCCTACCGCGTGTGATCGGCGATGGGTGGTGCTGTGGTGGGTCCGGTGCTTGCTTTTATAGCTACTCCGTCCACTGCGGCCAGAGGACTTGCTGCTGTGGTTCTGGTATCTGCCTTCATGGTCCCTGTGGCGATGCCCGGGCTCACACCCTTGACTGTAGTCATTTCTATATTCATCAACGTAGCGCCGGCTATAATAATCTCTCTCATTTAGAGACCGGCTTTCCAAATAATGACTAGAAAAACAAAAGCACACTCTTTCTCAATGCTTCACGCTAATACCGAGTATCCTCAACTTCTCAGTAAATCTAAGACAGTAAACACTAAGATTTTGTTTTCTCCCACCAACACACACACACACACAGACACAATTTCACCAGCAGCACAGGCCACACCGCACACAGGGAGCGGCGCCCCCCGGCCGCGCCCTCCTCACCTGTCCGAGGTTTTCGCGGGGTCGTACTGGCAGCGCTTGCTCTCGCGGGCGCTGCTGGGGGACCGCCTCGCCCTCTTGCGGCTGCTGCTCCTCCACTTGGCGGCCTCCCAGTCCTCGTCCCAATCGGCACCGTAACTTCTCTTCGAGTGCCTCATCTGCGGAACACACAAGTCCCCCAGCTTTACCGGGCGCCGCACGTCAGCCAGGGGCGGTTTGGTAAAACCCTCTGCAATCCGCGCTGGCCGTGACCCTGCGGATCGATTCCTGCGGCGGAGGCTTAACCCAGTTCACAGGACGCGATTCTCCCCTCCGAACGGGCCTCCAACACGGGCCTCCAACACTGGCCTCCGACTCACACGCAACCGTCCGTGTTCTCGAGGCGGAATCATTTATTGTCTAAAACTCCTGTAAAGGAGGTAAAGCGACCGAACTGGCCAGGCCTTCAGCCAGCGACACGACACGATCCCGTCGCTGAGCGCCACTCCCCAGCACGCCCTGCACCCAGCGTCTCCTCAGGGCCGGCTCACACCCGCTTCTTACACCGTCGGGCGAGGAGGGGGACGCCATCTTCCTTCCATCGATGTTTCCAACGAAAAGCCCTAACTTGACTCCCCCCGTCTCCGCGCTCACTCAAACGGCCCCGAGTGGGGCGCAGACATTCCACACACAAGATGCACGACCACACACGCCTGCAAATACTCTATCGTTTCTTTCCTCGGGATCCCAGACCACACCGAGGGGGCACTTCAGTCCTGCGAGAAGCGACTGGGCGTGAAGGGATAGCGCCTTCTACCCGGGCCGCGCCTTCCGTCTTTGTCGGCACAGTTGCTCACAGAAGCGTCCTTGACGAGGAACCACGGTAAACACCGGCCGCGACGGGCGCCCGCCGCCGCCATCTTACAGCGCGGGAGGCGGCGGCTGCTGCGGACAAGATGGCGCCCGGGCGCGGCCCGCCCCACCCCCGCCTCGCAAACACGGTCACTCTCCTCCGCCAGCGTCTGGGGCGTCGAGGTTCCGGCAGAAACTCGCGCCGACAGGCTGGACGGAGCCGGATGGGGCGAGGGAAAGGGCCCGCCGTGCAGGAGACCGCGAGCGGCGTCCTACGAGCCCGGGTAGGGCGGCATCACCGGGTGCTCGCGGGGCGCAGACACGGGGCCCTGACACCAGCCCGCTTCCCCCAGCGCTTACCGTCCTGGCCAGAGAGTCGAAGCCGAAGGAGACAAAGCTAACGCGACAGCGGAGAAGGCCCTGCGGGCTGGACGGGCTCCGACCGCAAAATGGAGCTGACAGCCGCTGCGTCAGGGCTCTTCTGAAAAACACCGGTGACGCTGCAGCGAGGCTCCGCCTCCGGGCGGGGCGTGCGCAGGTGCAGGGGCGCGTGCGCAGGAGGGGGAGGCGGGGCGCGGGGCCCCGTGTGCGCAGGCGCCGGGCCGCGAGAGGCGCTACTGAAGGTGACGGGGAAGCTGCGCCGGCGGCCATGTTGGCCAGGGTCAGCGTTGGACAATGGGGAAGCACTGAAAGTGTTAGTGAGAACAGCCTCGTCTGTGCTCACTGAAGAGTGTATTTGTGAACCTGGAGACGAGGAAAAGTGTATTCTTTAGCGCACATTATGTGTGGGATGAGTGTTTGGGGAGTGTTCCCAATTAATTTTATTAATATCAGCCACTATCTCACAGGTGACTGTAAACAGGACCTTTACAGAGGCAGTTAAGGTTCAATGAAGTCACTAGAGTGGGACCTAATCCAATGGGACTGGTGTCTTTCCTTATAAAGAGACTAGAAGTCCCATGCACGAAATTTGGGCAAGAGTAGGCCTTCCCCGGGCTGCCACTTGGCTTGCCCCTGGCACTTGAGACACAGGCTTCCCTCAGCCCTGGCTTCATCCCGAAGGTCGTCCTTCTGGACATCAGGTCTAATTAGCATATTATGCTTTTATTATCATAGACTGGACACAGGCACACACAGAAAGACCATGTGAAGACAACACGGTCACCTACAAGCCAGAGAGGCACCAGTGCGCACCCCCCCCTCCCCCCCCAACACACACCTGGACCGCTCATCTCTCAGTCCAGGTCAAGGCTGGCAAATTTCCCTAAAGGGCCAGATATGGTCTCTGTCGCTACCAAGCGGCATTGCTGCTGTAGCACAAACCAGCCAGACAATACATAATGGACTGGGACTGCGTTCCAAGAAGGTGTTATTTACAAGAACAGATGGGCAATCTGTTTCGCCAACCTCTGATTTAGATATTCCTCTCCTTTTAAAGAGAATTTTGGTTGGTCAGCAATATTATAGTCGTCTTTGTAGTGTAACACATGGAACAGCCATCCCCCAAACACTAACGTGAAATCAGTGGGAGTGGACAGAAGTCATTATTCTGGATCTTGCCCTCAAGGTGGGCAGCCAGGATACCGCCCTACCTATTCGGCTATAATTGAGCTGACTTTATAAGGTGCCCAAAAGTGACCATAGTGACACTACTTTAAAAAATGGCAGCGTTTAAAATAAAAATTGAGGGAATGCCAGCCAGTACCAAAACATCCTGACAATGAGTAAAAGCCTCTTAAAAGTGATGACAAAAACTCAATGACATGTTTGGAGAAGAAAGAGATCAGGAATAAGAAGTGTAAAACAAACTCTGGCCAAAAAGGGCCTTTCATACTAATTCTAGAAACCTAAATGGTTAAAAGGCTGAAACAAAAATGTGAGAACATTAGTATAATTGGTGCCTCAGTTTAGTGGAAGGTATAGATGGTAACCAGAGGACAGCTACAAGCTTAACTCCCAAACTGTAATTAAGAAAGAACCAAAACATTTCATCAGCCATCTGCAAAAATAATACAAACCAAAAAATGCTTAGTTTTAGGAATACCCAAAATCTAATCAAGGCAGTAAGTGGAAAACATTCTTGATAAAATCAACAGCAGAGTCTGATAAATAACCTGGTTAGGTAGTGCTCTAGTGGAGATAAATAAAACAGCTTCCATTACTTAATACAGAACATGACATGCCAGAAGCTTTACAAACATAATTTCTTTTAATCCTCACCATAGTCTATGAGGGAATATTATTTATGAATAAGAAAACTAAGTTCTTGGTAAGTTCATTTGCCTAAAGTTACTAGCAGGGAACAGAGCTGTGATTCAAACACAGACAGAACTCTACAACTGGTGTTCTTAACCAACTAATTGCATTTTTCAAATGGATCATCTGTTGAACTTTATCCTGCCATATTTTAAAAGATATATTTTAAAAAAATGTTCCATGGGCAAATCAGTTGGGAAATTTTGAGTGTTTACTGGACTCTAGGATATCTCTGAGCCCCTATTATAAATCTAAAGACCAAAGAAAATAGCAAATGTATTGGCTGGCCTTTCTATATACTTCTTCATCTTGTCTTTCTTCTTTGTAACCTCACAAAGTGAACAATTAATGGAAAATAATACTTCCACGATGTGGACTAGATATAGCAGAAGTTTATAATTAGGCTGCTCAAAAATGACTGATTTGAAACTCAGCATTTAAAAATGATTGTTTTTATGTAACAAAAGGTAAACATTTTTTTAAAAAAATTAAACTTAAATACATTGGATATAGTTATAGTAAAGAATATATGCTCAATCAGAAGAGTATAAGTTATTTGGTTCCCCTTGGTATCACGGACTCAGAAGATCTTAGTTGTAAACAAGCAGGATGATACAATCTCTGACGTAATTCAAGCTGGGTAAACCGCAATAGGTGTGTTCCTCAAATAGTCTGCCAAGTATTTGTCCATGCCTATTATAACTATTGAGCAAATGGGTTGGCATGAATAGTTATATCCTTAATGTGTACATCATTAAGAGGTCGGTATGTCTTCTCATTTACTGGTAACTTCTCCAATTCATCTAGAGTCTCCAGACCATCTATTACCCTGAAAGAGAAATAATATAATGGATGAAAATTTTCTGATTGAAACACAATATCCATATATGTATAGCAATTACAGTATCCTTAAGAGAAAAGGACCGTCCCAGTCTATCTTGTTTAAGCCACTGTTTTTCAGATCTGTTAGTTGCTGTAAAATGCTATCTCAATGAAAAGACATATTACTGTTAATTTGCATAATGGACCAGAAAAAACATATTAACCTGTCTTGGAGAAAATCAGGAAATAGGCTGAGAGAGGTTATAATTTCCCAAGGTCACAGGGCAGGTTAAGTTGGGCTTACATTCCAGGTAAGTTTAGTTCTTAGACTGCACTTTCCATATTAGTTATGCTACTATCACAGCCACTCATACGCATCCTTTGCAATGAAATTCCAAAGACGAATATCATAACCAGGATACTCACTTTCCAAATACTGTGTATTTCATGTCCAAATGTGGCTGCTTGCCATAGGTGATGAAAAACTGAGATCCATTGGTATTTGGGCCATTATTAGCCATAGATACAACACCTCTAACGTTGTGCTGCAAAAGATAGTCCAAAGTATTATTTATCTATGTTTTTAAATAAATATTCCAAATACCGGACTAAAACAAGACATGCACTCTTTAACCTCCCAATATTTAAGGAACCAAGAAAACATTTAATCAGCTTCAATTTGGGCAAACCCAAATATTCAGTTGCTGTATTATCTGTATCACTGACAACTTATATTGTTTATATATCAAATCATATCCCCCAATTAATTTCATTTTCACTTTGGAGACATATAGCCACGAACACTTTAAGTAGTACCAATGTATAATAGAAATAATCCTTACATTTATGTTATGCTGGAATGAAATGATCAGGCAGACAATAAAACCAAAAGCCCCATAATCTCTTCACACACACACTGGATTCTGGCTAGTTTATCTGTAAAACAAGGGAGTTTGGACTAGTTCTGGGTTTACTCATAATTCAAATGCTCACAAAGGTCAGCAGATAGAAAGTTGATGAGTGGGCAGAATGTAAACATTAGGGAGTGGTGGAATCTGGCTAAAGGAATAATATATCTCTTGCCCAATGTCTTTAAAAATTTTTTTTAACTAATGGCCATATAGAATGCATCTTTGGGTCTTCACCCATTGCCAGTCAGTTCATAACCCCAGGACTAGGTGATCTAGGCTATTGTAGGAATTAACAAGGAACCTTAAAATATAATCAAGGTGGGATCGGTCCTACTGATGATTTTTCTCTATATTTGGGAGAGGGGGAGGAGAAGGAGGTAAGGTCCTACTTTTTTATTCTATTTTATATATTTTTATTGATTTCAGAGAGGAAGGGCGAGGGAGAGAGAGAACATCAATGATGAGAGAGAATCACTGATCGGCTCCCTCCTGCATGCCCCCTACTGGGGACTGAGCCTGCAACCCAGGCATGTGCCCTTGAATAGAATCAAATCCGGACCCTTCAGTCCCCAGGCCAATGCTTTATCCACTGAGCAAAACCGGTTAGGGCTACTTTTTTATATTTTTAAAACTTCCACTAGTGAGTCTGTAACAGCAGCCAACGTTGAAAACCACTGGTTTAGGATTACAGATCAGTGTTATGAAAACTGCCATTAATTAATGTCTAAAAGGTTGTTTTGTTTCTAATTCAGGAAAGGATGATTTTTAAAATAATGTATCACTTCCTAACCTCAACTCCTATAACAAGGGTAGTATTTCTTTATGATAGAAAAGCAAAAAGATAAAATAAATTACTCCTAGTCTAACTGTCCAGAGGTAAAAACTGCAATTTAATTTTTTTTCCAGAAAATCCACGGTATATTCTAATGTAACTGAAATATAATATACTAAATTACATATTCTGATTGAGGGGAATTTGTCTCTCTTGTTTGTTTATTTGTCTCTCTTTTTTAAATTATGAAGTTATCATTCTGTGCAGATACAAAGTTTAAAAGACAACATAATAAACTGTTAATTGATGTCACTTCTGGGAAGTGGTTTTATTTTTTGTTTTAGAGAGCGAAAGGGAGAGGGCGGGGGGAGAGAGAAACACCAATCGGCTGTTTCCCACGTACACCCCGACAGGAGATCGAGCCCACCACCTGGGCGTGTCCTTGACCAGGAACCAAACCAGCGACCTTTTAGTGCAAGGGTCGACACAACCAACCGAGCCACATGGCCAGGGCTGATTTTGTAAAATAGGTACGCATCAGTTTTTTAATTTTAGAGAAAAAAAATCTTTAGAAAGTTTTAGAAATAATATGATAAAGAAAATTAAAATCCCTAATTTTACATGCTAACGATATATTTACATGCACTTCTCTTTTAACCTTGCTGAAATCTACCTCAGACATTAAGTAACGTTAACATAGGGATATTTAAACATCTAACAGATGATAAAAGTTGGATATTGATAATGGCAATATTGCAACCAGGAGGTCTCCCCACTCTCAAAAAAGGCCAATGGTTCATGTCATCCAACAAGAATTTTATAGTGAGACATGTAAGCCCCTTTGGTATGTTACTGATTAAACATTTCAGGCCGGACCCAAAGATGAGCTCACTTAATATCAACATCCATGTGATGGTGAGATTCCAGCATATATTTTAGGCTAGAACTGCCATTTATATTTTCCTCCTGATATCATTTATCAAGTGTGCAGAAACTACAAAAAGAGTGGGTATATATGTTCACTTGTGATATTAACTTATATCACATATTACTACAACACATGTATCAAAGTTTCCAAGTATATACATGGCATGAAAAAATAATTTTAAAGCTTGGGGACATACCTTAAGATATTCACTGTATTCATCCTCAAATTTCTTGCCCCAGATACTGTTACCTCCTCTTCCGGTACCTATATTACAAGACAAATAAAAGAAGTATCTAATTAGAGAAAGGCTTTATTTTCTAAAACTTCAAGGCTTTTTGTAACTCTTAAAGTACAAATAAAATTTGATATGTCCTCTCTTACATCCCAAAATTTCACTTTATAAACCAGAAAAATAAAATATCTTCTACAAAAAAACAAAAACTCTCCTTATCAATATTCATCTTTCAGAGCCTGGTGCTAGTAGCTTCAGCTTAAATACTGCTTACTATTATAAGGTAGCCCAATTATAAATACTCCATGTGCTTTTATTTTTCTATTCTTTGTCTATCCCCCGCCCTCTTCATACTATATACCATTAATTCTCCAGATATTAATGGGATAACTTACCTGAGGGGTCTCCTGTTTGAACCATGAAACCCTTGATATTTCTATGAAATATACAGCCATTGTAGTAATTACTGGCACAAAGAGCCAAGAAATTCTGAAGAGAGTAAAAAACAATGATTGAGAAATCATGTAGCAGAAACACTTAAGGTAAAGAACTCAGTGTATTTACTAAAAGCACTATAACAGCATATTTCAACTATGTCTTTTAGGCATTACTTTGGATGATGTTGCTTCCCTGCCTAAAGCACTTTTATGGCTTCCTCCGGGTTTTGGAATAAGATACAGACTCCTCAGCAGGGCCTACCTCTACATCTCTTGATAATGACCCCTCCCGTGTGGCTTACTATGTTAACCCCATCAGCCTTCTGAAAATTCATCCCACAGAGGCAGGCTCTCCTACCTTGAGGCCTTTGTACCTACCATCTCTATGCCTGGAATGTTCTTTTATAGCTTTTCATGGAGATGCCTTCATTACCTTTCACACTCAGTTTAAGTAGTATCTCTTTCTTGGCTAGGCCTGCCTTCACCTTCTTTTAAATAATTCCTTCCCCATTATTCTCCATCTCAACATTTTATTTCCTTCAAGGCATTATCACGCTCTAGAATTAGTTTTTTTCTAGAATAAATTCCCTCCCCCCTATCTGTCTCCCCACCTAGAATATTAGCTCCACAAGTGCAAGGAATGTGTCCTGTTCATCACTGTGTTTCCAAACACTGTCAAGACAGCCTTTCACAAGTAACTACTGAATGAGTAAATATGCATAGCTGACTTTTCTTCCTTCTATCCTTGTCATTTAAACAAGTGAAATAATGTAACATACAGTTCTCTTACCTGATATCTAATGATTACTTATGTTTCCTAAGGAAAATGAGCCAAAAGGAAAAGATGCCAGCCACCCTATCTGCCCTTCAATATCAGGAAAGGTAAGTGGAAATCAGGCCAGAAATGATGATGGCTGGTTTTTCCTGACAGTGACTTCATACAGAAGTGTTTCAAGTTTTTTGGGACATTGTTGGCTTTTTAGATCAGTCAGTTTCAAAATGGTTATCCTGCTGCATTAACTCATTTTTTGTTTGTTTACAACGGTACTCACTTCACATGCTTTGGGTGTCCTCTCGCAGAAGATTTCTATTTTAATATCACCTACATCTGTATGCAGTGTCACCGACTAAAAAGGAGACAGAATGGGAGAACAAATGAGATTTCTTCAGGTGACTTTATGCACTGTATGACTTCCCTAACTAGATATTAAAGACATTAAAGACAATGTAAATAAAAACAGAAATACTATTTCAGAGATGACCTGTCCACAAAGCAGCTCTTAGAGAAACTGTAATCCTTCAAAATTTACTTCAGCAGTAGAAAAAAAGCTCCAGGAGATAAATATATGTTAGGGTAAAATGGTGTCTATGCTAAAAAATTGCGGAGCAAATATTTTGATTGAAATAATTATTTTAAGTTTGAATTTTTCATCAATAAAAACAAAAACAATTGCCGAAACCGGTTTGGCTCAGTGGATAGAGCGTCGGCCTGCGGACTGAAGGGTCCCGGGTTCGATTCCGGTCAGGGGCATGTGCCTTGGTTGCGGGCACATCCCCAGTAGGAGATGTGCAGGAGGCAGCTGATCGATGTTTCTCTCTCATCGATGTTTCTAACTCTCTATCTCTATCCCTTCCTCTCTGTAAAAAATCAATAAAAATATATTTAAAAAAAAAAACAAAAAAAAAAAACCAAAAACAATTGTAATGTTAGAATTACTTATTTAAATGGCATTCACCATCGTTAATAGTTATTGAAAAAGGGTATGAGAATGACTTTCAAAACATTGTTTCCACCCTTTCCCTTATGTAATTTAATTATGAGGGACAAAGTTAAAAATTCCTTTCTCGACCAAAGGCAGGACACAAGAAGCATCAGTGTTTCTAGATTCTAACTATGCAGAGGTAACCACAGTTCTTCTTTTCCATGGTACTCTTATTTTTGTTTTTTGTTTGTTTTATCTGTTGCTTCAGTGAATACTCCTTTTGTTATCCACTTCCCAAAAGAAGGAAAATCATTATTCTGGGGCTTCCTTGTTCATTTCTCTTCGTTTAAGATTAGTATCTAGCAGTCAGAGAGTATGGCCAGGTTGAGGATAGAAAGCAGGGGCGTGTGTGTTGGGGAGAGGGATGGGGGTCATTGCTCATTGCTGTTTTCCACTTCAAGCTCTAGTTGCCCCCCTTAAATACAGAGCAAAGGGTTCCCGTTAAAATTATAATACCAGGGCTAAACCCTTCTGCTCCGCCTACTCTCCCTTCTCATCTCTATCTACCTTGTAGTCAATCTCTTTCTATAAAAGGAAAATTCTCTCAAAACATAACTTAAAAAGTAATGCTGCTTATTTCTCGTTTTGTTTAGAACCATTTTTCACTGCCTTGCCATTGATATTTCCATGCAGTTTTCTTTCCCTTGACTGAATTTCTAGAAATTACTTACAATGAAAGACATTCATAAGAATTCTATAAAACTTACCATTTTTCTTCTTGATGGTTACTGTTGCTTAATTTCTCAGTCTTACCGAGAAAAGTTCAAAAACGAATCTCCATTCCCAAAAGAAAAAAAAAATTAAGTTCATTTTTTTCTCTCTTCTCGCATGCTTATGTTTACTGCAAATTTAAAAGAAAAAGTCTCGAAGAACACCCGCCCCCCCCCCCCCCCCCGGCCCCAAGTAATAAAAATCGGGTGTCGGAAGGGGTGAAGAGACCCTACCCGACTTGAGCGCCAACCCCCCGACGACCCGGCCCCTCCCCCAGCGCCGCCGGGCGAGTCCTCCCCGAGCCGGTGCGCGGCCGCCCCCTGGGCCCCGCCCGCCCTCCGCGCGGCCGGCTCTCTCGGACCCTGCAGGGCGTGGCCCTCCCCTCCAAGGCGCCGCTTAAAACGCCCTAATCGCAGTGCCTTCTCTGCTTCCCTTCCCCAGCACCGGGCCTGCTACACCACGTGCTTTCTTACTTTATTCGATCTGCTGTTTCAGCAGCAGCCTCTCCACCCGGAACGCTCACGCGAAGCAGCCGGAGAACGAGAACACACGCCCTGCAAGTATCTGAATAAACCAGCGAAAAATGAGCGCGACACCCCATACCTTACCACTTCGGGGAGCACAGCTGCGGCCGAGACAGAAAAGGTGCAATGGCAGGTGCCCCCACCCCAGGTCTGAAGGTTCCAAATTCGTTTCGTGAGGCCACCGGAAGCCGAGCACCGGACCCGTCCGAGAGAACGCCCCTCGCGGGCCCGCCTCCTCCGCCCCCCCCATTGCCCCCCCCCCCCCCCAAATCGCAAACCAAAGCGACTGGCACTAGGGAGCCGGTGTCAGGTAGCCCACCTGGGCCACTGCCGACACGGAAAGGAACTCTTCTCACACTAGGGCAGGAATCCCACCCGGAACTACTGTGGACAGCCTCTGGCAGTGCCTGGCACTCAGCGGTAGAATGGGAGGGACCACTTCCGCCCGGCGCCTGCCCCAGCCAGTTCCCACGAGATCCCGCCCGGGGCCGGAAGTGACGCGCGAGGAGCGTTCTCGGGACTGGTGAGTCTCGGGCCATTTGAATCTCGGCGGACGAAGCTGCGGACCTCGGGTTTGTGCGGGCTGCGGCCGTTCTCCGAGGGCTGCTGTGAAAGGGGGCAGAGGAGGAGGTAGGGACAGACACGGGGCTGCCGCGGGAGAGCCTGGGGCGCCCGTGGGCTGGCCACCGGCTCTTCACCATGCTGGCCGTGGCCTGCATGTAGACGAGGTAACCTAGAAGGTGCAGTTTTGCAGCTGTAAAGTGGGACCTACTAATGTTATTCAATAAACACCGTGCTGACTCGAGGTCAGGTATGGTCACCAGCTTTACGTTTCAGTATTGCGACCAACTATGAGCTGGGCACTTCCTTCTTCAGAGTTGGAAATCGCAGTGGCTAAGTAACTGGTTACGCAGCTGTGACTCTGGCGCGGGGGGGGGGGGGGGGGAGGATGGGGGAATGGTCAGTATGGCGTTAGAGTCCTTGCTCTTGTCCAGCATGCTATGCTGCCTCTCATCGTGAATTCTGGCATCAAGCTAGGCAGCTTTGCTGTCGCCTGATCTGTGAGATGAGGAGTGTTGGTTCCAAAGGCAATTTCAAATGTAACTTCACTGCCCCGGTTGCCAGATTTAGAAGAGCCTGGAGAGTGGAGTGCTGTCAGGCCGAGGACTCTGGAGGGTGGAAGAGGTATAAGGACATTAGAAGATCTTCCAGGTCCGTAGGCTGGAGTGGTTAACAGAGGCTCCTCAGCACTTCAAATCATATATTGAATAAATACACACGTCTCATCTATATATATAAAAGCCTAATATGCAAAGTGTCCCCTTGGGAGTTCCATTGCTCACTGTGACATGCACTGACCACCAGGGGGTAGCGTGGAACCAAGGAAGGCCCCGGCTGGCAGCTGGCAGCTGCTAGGGACCCTACCTGGGCATGAATTTCGTGCACTGGACCTCTAATATTAAATATTTTTGCTGTAGAAATGTCTTAAAATTGCTTTTGAAATCATTGGGTTGTGAATCTTTTAATTAAATTTACTCTTCGCTATGCTTTCTTGTTAATTATTGCGCAGACTATGAAATGCTTTTCTTCAACAATTGAAGAATGGAGTTGGCAATGTCATTTTTTGTATTGGATATAGCTGTCTAGAACAGCAATTTTCAATCGTTGCCACAAGAGTTTTTAAAACATGCAAAACCTGACTATTTAGTCAGGAGCATTGACCTCTTTTCCCATAGATTGTCAAATAAAAATAACAACAGCCAACACAGCAATAGCTGTCGGGGTGAATGAATCAACATTATACAGTATCTAGGTTTTTTGTCAGATTGGCAAAAAAAATATATTTTTTGGTGTGCCGCAGAATTTTAGTAATTAGTTTATGAATGCCATGAGATGAAACAGCTTGAAAATTGCTGCTCCCCTAGGCTTCCAGGCTCTGAGCACTCCCACCTCTTGAGCCTAGCGTTCCTGTAGCAGGTGTGGGCTCAGGGGCAGCAGCCCTGCCTTTTCCTGTCTGGACCCTGCTCATTTGGAGTGACTCATCTGTGCATCTTATAAAGTACTTAAATTATATATATATATATATATTTGTAATTTTTTTTTAACAAATTAGTTTTTAATATACCACCCTAATTCCAAACTCTGCTGAGATGGGGTGGGGGACAGTGCCGGTCTGCAGTAAGCGTTTAGTGCTGGCCTGTGTTGGTGATACTGAGATATGTAAAAGATCGTTCCTGTTTCCCAGTAGCATTAGCACACTGGGGAGACAGACATACAGGAATCTAATATTATGAGACTACTTGGGCAAAATGGGGCGGGGCAGGAGAGAGACACCGAAAAGGAAGATCTGTCAAGAAAAGGCTTTATTTTAGGAAGTTGAAGGAGACCTGGAAAGAAGGGTAATGTTTAGAGAAATGGAGAAGGCAGGAGTGGGGCTGAAGCAGGGATGGGGAGAACTAGAGCAAGGGTGAGGTGCTCTGGGGCGGAGGGGTGAGCGTCTGTGTAGTAGGTACCAGGCTTGTGCCGGGTGACTTACACATAGGAATGCACCTGCTCCTCTCGATGGCCTGAGGTGGGTTGTAGTGTTTCTGTTTTATAGATGAGGAGCAAGCTCAGAAAGGTTACGTAACTTACCTAAGAAAATGCTGGTAAGTGGCAGGGGCGGTGCCTGCACCCAGGTATGTACGACTGCAGCTCCTTTGCTCCTGTCTTGCAAAGGTACGGGCCTAAAGTGTGCATGTGTACCATTGTTTGTGTTTTGACTTCAGATAGTCAGTTTTTCCCGGTTTCTGTATGTTGTCATCTCACCTACGCCTGGTCCCCACGAGAGTCCAGCTTGTTCGTTCCCTGGTCCGCAATCCTTCCTCTTCCTTCATGGACCTGAAGGCTCTCCTTTCCTCCTTGAATGACTTTGCCTCCCTCTCCTTTGCTGAGAGCTGGGACAATGTTGGATTACTGGTGGAACCAAGCCCACCACACACGGTGAACACACTCTTCCTGACCAATGATTTGACCGAAGAAGTGATGGAGGAGGCACTGCGGAAGAAGGCTGATTTCATTCTCTCCTACCATCCGCCCATTTTCCGGCCCATTAAGCGCATAACCTGGAAAACCTGGAAGGAGCGCCTGGTGATCCGCGCTCTGGAGAACAGAATCGCCATTTACTCTCCCCACACGGCCTATGATGCCGCACCCCAGGGGGTCAACAACTGGCTGGCTAAAGGGCTCGGTGAGAAGCCTCTTGTTCTCTCATGTTTCTTATTCTCCCTATAAATGCTTTGAAACTTTAGAACGTCTTTTCAGTAGAGTTTTCACTGCTCTAGGGTAGGATCGTTATTGTGTATGCAAAATATATTTTAAAATAATGTTGCTGAAATCTGGCAACCAAATGACATTTGAAAAATAGCATTTTTATGACTAATGAACGAGGCGAGCCTGGGAAATCCTCATGCTAGTCTGAGCTTTGTGATTCCTCACTCAGGTGGCATAGTACCTGCCACCCGGCCACTCCAGAAATGCTTGTTAAATTGAACTGAAAGCTTGGGCCTCTCTGGCACATACTTAATATGTCACTCATATAGAGCAGAGTTTTAATGAGGGAATTCAGCACATGTGTTTTAGCTTTACTTTTAGTACGTCTTTTTATAGTTTACTTGTTTTGGGCTGAAGCTTTTATAAGGCTATAAGCTGGATTGATGTGGTCAAGTAGCTGTGAGGATTTACACACTGAATCATATTGTACATGGGTAAATTTAATAAGCAGCACAATTGCACGTATCATCTAAAACTGCATCAGTCTTTCTTGTCCAGATTTTTGTGGTATTTAAGAATACTGGAAAATAATTCAAAAAATAAATTTGATTTTGTATGTCTGTATTAAATCCCCCATTGTTGGGTAACATTGGTTGTATAGGAAAAGGATATGTGTATATGTGTAGGGTATATAAGCATCTGAGAATGATTTTAAAAAATACTAATTTCTTGTAAGTTTGGGGCATAATAGTTTATCTTTTTAATTAAAAAACAAAACAAAACACAAAAACTCCCATTTTCCTACCATTTTTTTCAAGGCGTTTGCACCTCCAGGCCTATACATCCTTCCAAAGCACCCAACTACCCGACAGAGGGAACACACAGGGTAGAATTTAATGTTAACCACACCCAAGACCTGGACAAAGTCATGTCTACAGTGAAAGGAATTTCGGATGTTTCTGTCACTTCCTTTTCTGCTAGGTATAGTATATTTTCCTCTTTTCTCGGTGGGTACTTATTTGTAAAGATCTTCCTTACAAATTCTATAATTCTGACATTTAGGTTTGAAACATGGTTTTCCCTGGGATGTGTTTACAAAACAGCCTGCTTCTCATTTGGGTCCTCAAAGGAGGAGAACCATGGGAGCTTTTCAAAGCAATAAAGATGATAAGTAACACTATTTCCTCTGTGGGAGGGACTGTACTACACATTTTACATGCAGTGTTTCTCATCCTCCTGGTAATGGTGAAAGGTAGTTGCTTTTACTTTAGGGCACAAGCATACCTCAGAGATGTTGTGGATTTGGTCTCAGACAAGCATAATAAAGCAAGTATAGTTAATAAAGCGAGTTGTAATCTTTTTCCTGGTGGAGGGTCTTGTCTTCAGTTTATAAAGAAAGACAATACTCGTGTAGTTCAGTAAAATGAGGTATGGCTGTTACTCAGTCCCAGTATCTTCAACTCAAGTCTTTTTCCTTCCTTTCAGAGAAGTGAGTATCTTTCCAAACACATATAGCGACATAAAGAAATGTATAGCTTTGTTTTATTCGTTGTTCTCTTAATTAAGTGGTATTTGCCATATTACTAACAATATGTTTAGAGATCTTCCCATGTAGATATATAAGATTTCTCTTTTTTTTAAAAAAATATATTTTATTGATTTTTTTACAGCGGGAAGGGAGAGGGATAGAGAGTTAGAAACATCAATGAGAGAGAAACATCGATCAGCTGCCTCCTGCGCACTCCCTACTGGGGATGTGCCCACAACCAAGGTACATGCCCTTGGCCGGAATCGAACCTGGGACCTTTCAGTCCGCAGGTCAACACTCTATCCACTGAGCCAAACCGGTTAGGGCTATAAGATCTCTTTTTAACCGCTGTGTAATGTTTCTTATTACGGATGTACTGTAGATTATTTTCTTCTTTGTTTTGTTTTATTTATTGTACTGTACTGTAGATTCTTTAAGCATTCCTCTTCCTACCTGATGCCCCCCCCCCCCCCCCCCCCCCCCCCCGTTTTTTAACTGATGCACATTTAGTTCATTTCGAGTTTGACCACATCACAGTTAATATCTGGGTTTGACCATTAGTCAGGGCCCACGCATTGTTTTTGCTTTTTCTTTTCAAAGCTCCACAGATGATTCCAATATTGACAACACTTCCAGATTATATTTTAAGGTGCCTTTTAGTTCTAGAGTTCTATACTTGGAGTTTATGGCTAAATTGCAAAACTTTCTTGATGCCAGCCTTTTTAGAGAGTCTCTAGGGCCCTGTTCGGCAAACTGCGGCTCGAGAGCCACATGCGGCTTTTTGGCCCCTTGAGTGTGGCTCTTCCACAAAATACTGACTTCTGCGCATGGGCCACGAAGTTTCAATCACACTGTATGTGCGCGCCCGCACGTGGTATTTTGTGGAAGAGCCACACTCAAGGGGCCAAGGAGCCGCATGTGGCTCTCGAGCCGCAGTTTGCCGACCACTGCTCTAGGGCATTGCTTTTCAAAGGGCGATAAGGACTCCCTGCCCTTATGAATGGGGTACTTATGAAAAATGCAGATTTTTTGCTTCATCCTAGATCTGTGTAATTAGAATGGGGTTTGCCTGAGAATCTGTCCAGGAAATTCTTGTATGCAGTGTTGTTTGAAAATTAACTTCTCTAGGGCTTTAAGAAGAATTCAGTTTGCCCCAGCCCATTCACAGATGCTGTTTCACTGGATCTGTAAAAGGGTCCAGCAGCTGTCATTTTAGGAAGCGATGCACGCCTGGATTAAGAGCCATTAGAACCATGGTTTCAAGGTGAGGTCCTTGGACCAACAGCATCAGCATCCCTGGGAACTTGTTAGAAAAGTAAATTCTCAGACCCCCACCTAGACCTACTGAATCAGAAACTGGGGGTGGGGCCCATCCATCTATGATTTAAATAGTCCACAAGGTGATTTCGATGCATTTTAAAGTGTGAGTAACACTGTTCTAGAAAATAATTTGGTTTGGGATTGAATCCTAAATGTCATATAAATCTAATCTATTATAGGGAGTTGTAAATTGTAGATTACTTAAAATACATTTTGATTATATTTATCCTGGACCAGCGAGTGACTTTTCTTTTTACTCTTTTTCTAGGACTGATGATGAGGAACAGACGCGGGTCAGTCTGAACTGTAGTCAGCAGGCTTTGATGCAGGTGGTGGCTTTCCTTTCCCAGAACAGACAGCTTTATCAGAAGACTGAAATTCTGTCACTGGAGAAGGTAATAAAAATATGTTACATTGCCGAACATTGTCTGGCAAATTCATTTGTAAATTGTTAGATCAGTAGGCCTTCCCAGGAGACTGAGCTCCTCCAAGTCAGAGAGTGTTTTTGTCAGATCTGTATCCCCTGGACACAAACGTTGGCCTGGAGCTGTGAGCTCACAGTGTACATGCTATATTGATCTCAGCATTTGCTCTTTGTTCTAGGTTTGTTTTCTAGGACTGATGATGGACAGTTTCTCTAACTCCTGTTTTTCAGCCTCTGCTTCTGCACACTGGAATGGGACGGTTATGCACCCTGGATGACTCTGTCTCCTTGGCAACCTTGATTGAGCGAATCAAAAGGCACCTAAAACTATCTCATGTTCGCCTTGCTCTTGGGGCAGGGAGGACCTTAGGTAAATACGTCTCCTTTATTTGTCCAGTATGCCTACTGTTAACACTGGGCAAAAGTTGAAAAACTCTTCATTGTATTGTAAGTGAAAGAAAGCCTGTAAGTAGTTATGGGAGATGCCTGACTGGTTTACGCTATCAATCAGGTGTCTAGGTTGTGCTGTGGTGAACATCTCATTGGCTACCACAAGATTTATTTCCCCACAGTCTGTTCATCTCAAATCGGCAGGGCAAGTCTGCCCGTTGTAGGTGGTCACTGTTGCAAAGGGAGAGTCGTAAACCGTCATGTAAACATTCTAGCCTAGAAATGAACTTCCGTTTAACTCATAGTCGAGTTGGTCACATTGCCCGATCCAACCCAAGCTGGACATGAAGTAACATCCTAGCACGTGCTTGGGAGAGAGCTGGGAAGCGGGACTGCTCCGGTTTCCATGCAGATCTTGGTGTTTTACGATCCTGGTGATGTTTTATAGGGAGGTGCTACGAAGTGAAGTGACCACTGCAGTTTCTGAGTCTTGTAGCCACTGTCTTTTCTATCGGCTCTTCCCAGTACTTTCGGGAAAAGGAACCAACAGAGCATTATTTGACCCCTGCAGTTTGCCTAGCAGTGTTATGAGTACGTTAAAGTATGTGAGTTCCCACTGCAAAGGGGCCTAGAGGTTGTGGATTCCGAGTGTCTTGGGTGAAATTTATCTACTTGCTGCATGACTTTGACAGGTTATTTAACCTTCTTGTGTCCCGGTAGCCACATCTGTGAAAACTGTGGTGGTAATTAAACCTAACTCATCAAAGTAGATGTACAGTCCACGTGGCAGGGCACAGTAAGTGCAGTAAGTGCTGGCCTTAGCTCTGTGGTAGGTGTCAGTGTGGTAGGTGTCAGTGTTCCCATTGTGTCAGTGAAAACACAGAGGTTCAGAGATACTTATTCAGAAGTCTACAGTTGGATCAAATGACTTGTGGGCGTTAATTTCCAAACAAAACAGATGGCAGAGGTGGGATTTGACTTCCAATCCAACTCCAAAGTCCCTTTTAAAATAGCACTATTGCGTGACCACTAATGAAGGGTTTATTCTCGAAACATAAGTGCTAAATACTTGTTGTATTTGGGCTTGACAGTTTATTTCACTCTTCAGAGGATGCTCCTTTATTTATTTTTGTTAATCCTCACTCAAGGATATATTTCCATTGATTTTTAGAGAGATGGGAGAGGGAGAGAAACACTGTTGTGAGAGACACACATCGACTGGTTGCCTCCCACAGGGCCCGACCAAGCTGGGGATCGAGCCTGCAACCGGTGTACTAGTATATGCCTTTGACCGGAATCGAATCCGGGATCCTTCATTCCGTGGTCCGACGCTCTAGGGCCAAACCAGCCAAGGGCCAGAGGATGCTCTTTTAAAGTAAATATGGTGCCCAACTGATTTAGCTCAGTGAATAGAGCATCGGCCTGTGGACTGAAGGGTCCCAGGTTCAATTCCGGTCAAGGGCATGTACCTTGGTTGTGGGCACATCCCCAGTGGGGGGTGTGCAGGAGGCAGCTGATCGATGTTTCTCGCTCATCGATGTTTCTAACTCTCTATCCCTCTCCCTTCCTCTCTGTAAAATATCAATAAAATATATTTTTTAAATATATTTTTAAAATAAATAAAATAAATACGATATTTAAAAATGTGTCAGATCCATTTGTAGCATTCCTCAAACTAGCCCTTTCAGTTCCTCTGCTTCCTCACCTGAGAACAGAGATAGTACCTGCCTAACTCTCCCTGTTGCCTGGGGACCCAGTAGGTTACTTCCCGTAGTAGTGCTACAGTACAGCCAAGAGCTGTACTCTTAACATTATTCAGTGGGCGCCTTATATGGGCTTGTGCAGCCATGTATGTCTAAGGAATAGTAACCCTGCCTTGAGTTAGCTATGCTATGCAATACCAAAGAATAATCTGTCTGCTATATGAGGACATGTTTTATTATTTTTTAAAGTTTAGTAAGCAAAATTTATATACTGGTGATGAGGGCAAGTGTGAAATCTGCATTACATTTAGGATTTTGGGTGCAAATTGTAATATTAAAATGAAGGGGACTTGTAAAGTACTGGTCTCTTGCTTCCTTTATCTTGCAGAGTCCCAAGTCAAAGTGGTGGCTGTGTGCGCTGGCTCTGGGAGCAGTGTTCTGCAGGGGGCAGAGGCCGACCTCTACCTCACAGGTAGGGCAGCCTTTGATTTCTCTTCTCCCCTTTTGTGTGTGTGTGTTCTTCCCCAACCGTGGTTTATCTTTTACAGGTTAAAAAGGCAATTTTAGGACTGCCCCTGACATATAGATGGAGCTAATAAACTTTTTTTGAACCTGAACTAAATAGGAACTACACCAAAATTGGGGACATACCTTATTGTTTGTGGAGAGAGAAAAAAATCATTTAACAATTTATTATCAGATTATTTAAAAATACTAATGTTTAGCATTTCTTTAACCTATCTTCTGTTTGTTTTTTTAATTGTTTTATTGCTTAAAGTATTACAAAGAGTATTATATATGTCTCCTTTTTTTTTCTCCCCTTGACCTTCCCCTAGCCTCCCATACCCCCCAGTGTCTTGTGTCCATTGGTTATGCTTATATGCATGCATACAAATCCTTCGGTTGATCTCGTACCCATCCCCTGCCCCTCCCAACCCTCCCCGGCCTTCCCACTGTAGTTTGACAGTCTGTTCAATGTTGCTCTGTCTCTGTATCTATTTTGTTCATCAGTTTATAATGGTCTTAATTATCCATAAATGAGTGAGATCATGTGGTATTTTTCTTTCATTGACTGGCTTATTTCACTTAGCATAATGCTCTCCAGTTAACCTATCTTCTTCCTAAACATGACTTCTCTCAGATTTCATGTCACTTTCTATGTGTTGCCTTAGCTAGAAAATAGTTCTTCTTACTCAGCCCTAGAGTCAACCATCAGTTCATATCAGTTCTAGCTCCAAAATCTTTCTAGAACAGGGGTGGACAAACTTTTTGACTCGAGGGCCACAATGGGTTCTTAAACTGGACTCAGAAGAAGGAGCTGCGGCCGTGTTTCCCGACGTTGCCATGTTAACACTGCTGCTGGTGAAGGAGCGGAGGGGAGATCAAGAGAACCCTGCGCTCTTTCGGCTCCGCAGGCCGGATAGAACAGCCAAACGGGCCGGATCCGGCCCGCGGGCTGTAGTTTGCCCACAGCTGTTCTAGAACCTTCCCCTTATCTCTACCCAGGCATCATCATCTACCCGAAGAATATCTTCAAGCCTCTAATCTTTTATTTTATTTTAAAATCCTCACCCAAGGTAGCAATACTTATATCAGACAAAATAGACCTCAAAGTGAAGGCCATAACAAGAGATAAGGAAGGCCACTTCATAATACTAAAGGAATCGATATAACAAGAGGATATAACCCTGATAAACATATATGCACCCATTGCAGGAGCACCCAAATACATAAAAAAAACTCCTGGAAGATATCAAGGGAGAGATCGACAACAATACAATCATAGTAGGGGACTCTAACACATTGTATGCGGGAAACGTGTTTATACGTTCTACCAGTGTAGTAGAGCGCGGGACACGTATTAATACATTTTTTATAGACTAGCGGTAGAATGCGGGTAACGTATAAATACGTAAACCTAAAGTTATCGTAATTTTACTGAACCTGAACGTTGCCATTTGCACAAAAAATTAGCAAAAATGGCCCGTGCCACCTGTTAGCGCGCGATAAAAACTACCCACAAACAATGTGTTAATACACCACTGACATCACTGGATAAATCCTCTAGACAAAAAATCAGCAAAGAAAACAGCAATCCTAAATGACTCACGAGATCAAATGGACTTAACTGACATCTTCAGAACATTTCACCCCAAAGCCACGGAATATACGTTCTTCTCAAGTGCACATGGGACATTTTCAGAAATAGACCACATATTGGGTCACAAGCAAAGTCTCCCCAAATTCAAGAAGATTGAAATCATATCAAGCATTTTCTCAGACCACAACGGCATAATATTAGAAATAAACTACAATAACAACAATCCCAAATATTCAAACACTTGGAAGCTGAAAAGCATGCTATTAAACAATGATTGGGTTAACATAGAGGTCAAAGAAGAAATTTAAAACATCCTGGAAACTAATGACAATAAAAACACAACAATCCAAAATCTATGGGACACAATGAAAGCAGTCCTGAGAGGGAAGTTTATAGCTCTACAGGCCTACCTCAAAAAAACAAGAAAAAATGGTAATAAATCATCTAACTCTACAACTCAAAGAATTAGAAAGAGAGCAAGAAAAGCCCACAGTATCCAGAAGGAAGGAGATAATAAAGATCAGAGCAGAAATGAATGACAGAGAGACCAAAAAAACAATACAGAAGATCAATGAAACCAATAGCTGGTTCTTTGAAAGGATAAACAAGATTGATGAACCTCTAGCCAGGCTCACCAAGAAGCAAAGAGAGAAGGACCCAAATAAAATTAGAAATAAAAGAGGCGAAATAATAACAGACCCCACAGAAATACAAATGATTGTTAAAAAATACTATGGATAGATCCACTCCAACAAACTAGACAACCTGGAGGAAATGGACATATTCCTAGAAAAATACAACCTTCCAAAACTCAATCAGGAAGAATCTAAAATCAATAGGCCAATAACTGTGGAAGAAATTGAAGCAGTCATCAAAAAGCTTCCAGCAAACAAAAGCTCAGGGCCAGACGGCTTCACAGGGGAGTTTTACCAAACATTCAAGGAAGAACTAAAACCTATCCTCCTCAGACTCTTCCAAAAAATTCAAGATGAAGGAACACTTCCAAGCTCATTCTATGAAGCCAGCATCACCCTCACCAAAACCAGTTAAAGACAACACAATGAAAGAATTACAGGCCAATATCCCTCATAAACATAAATGCCAAAATCCTCAACAAAATTCTAGCAAATCGGATCCAGCAGTACATCAGAAAGATCATACATCATGACCAAGTAGGATTTATCCCAGGAATGCAAGGATGGTACAATATTTGCAAATCAATAAATGTGATACATCACATTAACAAATTGAGAGATAAAAATCACATAGTCGTATCAGTTGACACAGAAAAAGCATTTGACAAAATCCAACACCCTTTCTTGATAAAAACTCTCAGCAAGGTGGGAATAGAAGGATCATACCTCAACATAAAAAAAGCCATATATGACAAACCCACAGCCAACATCATAATCAATGGGCAAAAACACACCATTTCCCCTAAGAAAAGGAACAAGACAGGGATGCCCACTCTCACCACTCCTGTTTGACATAGTATTGGAAGTACTAGCCATTGCGATCAGACAAGAAGAAATAAAAGGTATCCAAATTGGAAAAGAAAGAAAACTGTCCTTATTCGCAGATGACATGATACTGTACATAGAAAACCCTAAAGACTACATCAAAAAAATTATTAGACTTAATAAATGAATTTGGCAATGTAGCAGGTTACAAAATTAACGCCAAGTAATCTATGGCATTTCTATACAGCAATAATGAACTTACAGAAAGAGAGACTAAAAAAGCAATCCCATTTACCATCGTACCAAAAAAATTAAGATACCTAGGAATCTTACTAAGGAGGTAAAAGACCTGCATGCAGAAAACTACAGGACACTGAAATAGGATATAGAGGAAGACATAAACAGATGGAAGAACATACCATGTTCGTGGATTGGTAGAATCAACATCATTAAAATGTCCATACTACCCAAAGCAATCTATAGATTCAATGCACTCCCCCTTAAAATACCAACAGCATATTTCACAGACCTAGAACGAACTTTCCAAAAATTCATCTGGAATAAAAAAAGACCTCGAATAGCTGCAGCAATCTTGAGAAAGAAGAACAAAGTAGGAGGGATCTCAATACCAGATCCAAGCTGTATTACCAAGCCACTGTTCTCAAAACAGCCTGGTACTGGCAAAAGAACAGACATATAGATCAATGGAATAGAATAGAGAACCCAGAAATCGACCCGCACCAATATGCTCAATTAATATTCGACAAAGGAGGCATGAACATACAATGGAGGCAAGACAGCTTCTTCAATAAATGGTGTTGGGAAAATTGGACAGATACATGCAAAAAAATGAAACTAGACCACCAACTTGCACCATACACAAAAATAAACTCAAAATGGATAAAGGACTTAAACATAAGACGGGAAACCATAAAAATACTAGAGGAATCCACAGGCAGCAAAATCTCAGACATATGCCGAAGCAATTTCTTCACTGATACAGCTCTTAGGGCAATGGAAACTAAAGAGAAAATAAACAAATGGGACTACATCAAAATAAAAAGCTTTTGCACAGCAAAGGAAACCATCAACAAAACAACAGGAAAGCCCACTGCATGGGAGAACATATTTGCAAATGTTATCACTGATAAGGGTTTAATCTGCAACATTTACAGGGATCTCATGAAACTTAACAAAAGGAAGATAACCCAATCAAAAAATGGGCAACAGACCTAGATACTTTTCGAAAGAAGACAGAAGAAAGACCAAGAGACATATGAAAACATGCTCAAAGTCACTAATCATCTGAAAGATGTAAATCAAAACAACAATGCGGTACCATCTCACCCCTGTCAGAATGGCTATCATCAACACATCAACAAATGACAAGTGCTGGAGAGGATGCGGAGAAAAGGGAACACTCCTTCACTGCTGGTGGGAATGCAGACTGGTGCAGCCACTGTGGAGAACAGTATGGAGCTTCCTCAAAAAACCAAAAATGGAACTCCCATTTGACCCAGTGATACCACTTCTAGGAATATATCCCAAGAAACTAGAAACACCAATTAGAAAGGATATATGCACCCCTATGTTCATAGCAGCACAATTCACCAAAGCTAAGGTTTGGAAACAGCCTAGTGCCCATCAGCAGATGAGTAGATTAAAAAACTGTGGTACATCTACATAATGGAATACTATGCTGCGGTAAAAAAGGAGTTCTTACCATTCGCAACAGCATGGATGGACCTGGAGAATATTATGCTAAGTGAAATAAGCCAGTCAGAGAAAGATAAATACATGATCTCACTCATTTATGGAATATAATGAATAACATGAACTGATGAACAAAAACAGGTCCAGAGACAGAGAAGCATCGATAAGACTGTCAAACCACAGAGGGAAGGTAGGGGAGGTTGGGGGTAGAGGGGGGGAGATCAACCAAAGGACTTATATGCAAGCATATAGGCCTAACCAATGGACACAGACAACAGGGGGGTGAGGGCATGAGTGTGTGTGGGGGGGATGGGGGTAATGTGGGGATAAGGACACATATGTAATAATAAAGAAATTTAAAAAATAAATTCTCACTCAAGGATATGTTTTTATTGATTTTATTTATTTTTTTCTTAAAAATGTATTTTATTGATTTTTTACAGAGAGGAAGGGAGAGAGATAGAGAGTTAGAAACATCGATGAGAGAGAAACATCGATCAGCTGCCTCCTGCACATCTCCCACTGGGGATGTGCCCGCAACCCAGGTACATGCCCTTGACCAGAATCGAACCTGGGACCTTTCGTCCACAGGCTGACGCTCTATCCACTGAGCCAAACCGGTTTCGGCTTGATTTTAGAGAGAGGAAGTGAGAGAGAGAGAGAGAAATATTGATCAGTTGCCACCATGTAAGTGTCCCAACTGGGGATCGAACCTGCAACCTGGATATGTGCTCTGAGTGAGAAATACCTTCTTACCTGGCTGACTTTAGATGTCTATGATCTATGAAGCATCACTTTGGCTATAACTTCAGGGATGAGAACCATCAGTCAAAAGACCAAATAACAGGCCTCTGCTTCCACTTGTCACCTTCCTTTGAGCTTGACATGGAATTGGGTGAAGGGAAATATATCCTAGACAGACCAGCAGGTGAGGAGCTTGCTCCTTGCAGATACTGTATAAACGCTCTCATTTGCCTTTTCTTTCCCACAGCTGCCAACCTGTACCAGGCTTTTCTTTCCTTTGCTTTCAGCTATTATTGTAGGGTCACCAAGAATTTCCCCACTTTCATGCCTCCTCCAGCCAGTGCTTTTATAACCTGGGCACCCAGACTCGTTCCTAAAGCATGGCTTCTAACTGGGCCACGTTAGTATCTTTTTCTCCTTTTTATCTTTACTATTATAGATCAAGATGCTTTAATAGGTGCTTGAAGAAAAAGTATTTCTTATAATGAAATGACACATATGAGGGGTAGAAATGTGGGCAATTAAACATTCCTGGGGGAGGAGGGTAACTCTTTTTCTAAGAACCTTTTTTCCCTTATATTTTATGCCTTTATATTCCTATATACATTTCAAAATTATACTTCATATAGAAGCAAACGTAGTCTTTCTGCTGTTGTGGCTCAGCATTGCAGACTCTGAATCTAATGTTTAAGTATCTGCTCTTTCCTTTGCTGGCAGGTGAGATGTCCCATCATGATGTTTTAGATGCTGCTTCCCAAGGAATAAATGTCATCCTCTGTGAACACAGCAACACTGAACGAGGCTTTCTTTCCGATCTTCGAGATGCGCTGAGTGTTCACTTGGAGAATAAGATTAATATTATCCTGTCAGAAGCAGACAGGGACCCTCTTCAGGTAGTGTGATGCATACGGCACAGAGTGACTTCTACTTTACAAATCGTTTCCCTCCTCCTCAAACGCACATGATCAGTGGAGTCTATCCTTCTGGAAGAATGTTTAGAATGTACATTGTCATTTCTGGTTTGTTAATCTGCTTCACCAAATGTTCTATAGTTTTTAGGGTAAACACTGTAATGTAACTATTATTAAAGAACAGATATTTAGCCCTGACTGGGTCGCTTAGTTTTGAGGAACTTCAATATGTTTTTACTGAAAAAAACAATACTATAAATAAAAGTGATTCTCTCCAAATTGGAATTTTATTAATAATAAAGACTACTGACATATTCTTCTTGCAAATAGTATGGGCACAAAAATTATAAAAATAAACTAGTGGATATTTTAAGGGCAAATGTAAAGTTTACACATTAGATCATTAAAGATTTTGTGTACTTTTTTATACTGCAAGTTATAAACTAGATATGTTAATAAAAAAAAAAGTGCAAGCCAGTAAGTATATGCTATCATTTCTGTTTTTAAAAGGAAAACAACAGACAAAAACCCTTATCTGTGTATAGACTACCTCTGGAAGGTTAGGCTATCAATGGTTGCCTAAGGCAGTGGTCGGCAAATTGCGGCTTGTGAGCTACATGTGGCTCTTTGGCCCCTTGAATGTGGCTCTTCCACAAAATACCAACTTCTGCGCATGGGCCACAAAGTTTCAATCACACTGTATGTGCGCGCCCGCACATGGTATTTTGTGGAAGAGCCACACTCAAGGGGCCAAAGAGCCGCATGTGGCTTGCGAGCCACAGTTTGCCAACCACTGGCCTAAGGAATTGGATCAAGGAATAGAAAAAAACTGCTTTTCATTAGCCGTTGGTACAATTAAAAGAAGTTTTAGCCCTAACCAATTTGGCTCAGTAGATAAAGCATCGGCCTGCGGACTCAAGGGTCCCAGGTTCCATTCCGGTCGGGGGCATGTACCTCGGCTGCGGGCACATCCCCAGTAGGGGGCGTGCAGGAGGCAGCTGATTGTTTCTCGCTCATCGATGTTTCTAACTCTCTATCCCTCTCCCTTCCTCTCTGTAAAAAATCAACAAAATATATATAGTAAAATTTTAAAAAAAGTTTTAGAGTCAGTAATGTATAAATTCTTAAATATTTTAATAGTAATTGTCTTTAAGATTAAACCCTTAATTGACGGATTTAATATAAAATTGATTAATTATATGCCACAAAGAAATGATTTAAAAATTCTGAGCATTTTGGGAAATATTTTCATGAAAGGCATTTACAAAATAAGAAATGAGTAAAAAATGCTGATGTGATATATACTTTATTACAGTGATATTAATGATGATTTTCATTTCCAAGTATGAAATATTTCAGGGAATATGTGAAAACTGTAAGCTGAGTACAGTGACCACGGTTAGCCTTTTTTTCTTAAGAAAAAGGCTCGTGTAAATATTTAGAAGGCTTGAAATTGTCACTAAGAAAAAGACAAATGCCTTACAGTGAGTTTTAGATGTACTTGATAGAGAAATCAATTAATTTAAAGCCAGCCTGGCCCGCGTGGCTCTGGTTGAGCGTCGACCTATGAACCAGGATGATTCCCAGTCAGGGCACATGCCTGGGTGTGGGCTCGATCCAGGGGCATGTGCGGCATGTGGGAGGCAGCCAGTCCATGATTCTCTCGCATTATTGATGTTTCTATTTCTCCCTCTTCCTTCCTCTCTGAAACCAATAAAAAATATTTAAAATTTAATATAAAGCCAGCTATTAATATGCTACTCACCTGCATTTATTCAAGAAAAGAAATAGATCAATATACAAGAATACTTAAATTTTTATTTTCCATTGTCTTGAAGATAGTGACTAAAAAATTAAAAAGTATTTCTCTAGCCTGGCTTCTCACTTGTATCATGAAGGTGTGGCACAAACATTAAGTGTTTCATATTTTTCATGTGCTTTCTAGGCTGGGTATACACTCTACATACTTGTTATGCTTTTCCCACTACCCCAACTGAATAGTGTCATGCACCCCCCGCCTCCACCCAGTATGTAGTTTAAATCCTAAAGGAGAAAGCTGGATCACCTAGTTTTCGCCAATTTTATTCCTTTCGTTAAGCCAGTTCAGAAACAGCAAGTCTTCTCCATTTCACTTATCAGCTCTGACACAGAGCAGATCTGTGTGATGCCAATGTCTCTACTTCTGCACGCTGGAACAAGCAGCCCCAGGAGTGTTAAAAGGCCCTCAAAGAATCAGGAGTAGTATCACCTCTAATATAAAAGAATTAAAAACATCTAGTTCCAAATAGTCCCTGAGCACACTATTCACTCCAGCAAGAATCTCCAGAGAGGTAATGAATGAAAGGCACAGTTTCTCCAACTTGAGGACCACTGAATAGCATAGTACTAGAGCTGGTAATTAACTAGCCAGGCTAATCGAGGTTCTAATTCATGACATCCCCCTCCCACTTTTAAATCTTGTACAATGGAAAGAGTCTGGTGCTGGATGTAAACACAGTTTAGACTGCAGGAGAGGCAGCCGGAGTACAACCTTCCACAGAATATTCAGGAGTAAAGGAGGGCTTCAGGACTCCTCTTCCTCCTTTTCCAGGAACTCCGACAACGTCCCATTGTCAATAGGAATGAGTAAGTATTCCACTCCATCAGTTCCCTAAAAGACGTAAGAATACCCTGGATGTTAGTCATTTGTAAGATAAATTTGAATCCTATCGTAGTTTAAAAAATGGATTTAATATTTTATATAAATTTGGCAGTATAAAAGTTAAGGGGAAAGGGCACACAGACACACACACACATATTTAAAATACACTGGGTTTTTAGTTAGGCCACTTTCTAGTGGAAAAGAAGTCCAGCGGGTAAGTGGATTATTTTCTTCATCCTCTTTTATAGAATCTTATACTATTGATTTTTTTGTTCTTTAATTTCCCTTTCAAGTGGATCCATTCCATTGGTTTTAAAATACATTTAGTATCTCCCATTATTAAGTAACCTCATTCTTTTCCATCTATCACCCAGCCTCGGCACCTTTTCAGAGAGTTGTCTAACAATGGTGGTCTCCATTTCCTCACTTCTCCCTCAACCCAGTCCGACCGAGCTACTGCCACTATTATGTCACCAAAAGAGCTTTTGTTTAGATCGGTGATTTTCAACCTTTTTCATCTCTTGGCACACATAAACTACTAAAATTCTGTGACACACCCAAAAACATCTTTTTGCCAATCTTACAAAAATAGGAATAATTTTGATTCATTCACTGGATAGCTATTGTATTGGCTGTTGTCATTATTTTATTTGACAATCTAAGGGAAAAGAGATCAGTGCCCCTGACTAAATAGTCAGGTATTACATGTTTTAAACATTCTTGCGGCACACAGTGTGCCGTGACACACCGGCTGAAAATTGCTGGCTTATACCAAGGGATTCCATATTCCTAAACCTAACCATCTGTTTAGTCCTCCTCTACTGGCCGCTCAGCAGCACCTGACTGTACTTTCACACTGAACAAGCATATTTGCAAACAACTGGCTCCAGGAGCGTTAAAAGGCCTGTTCTGCAGACCGTTCTTTTTTTCTTAAAACATGCTTTTCTTGGCTTCTGTAACATCATGTCCTGGTTTTCTTCCTCACTCTGGCTGTTTCTCTCACCTTGTAGGCTTATCTTTTACTTGGCCATTAACTGTCACACTTCTAGGCTTAGTTCCTGGCCCTCTAATCTCACTACCTTATCTCTGTACAGAGCTCAAATGGCCCACTGCCTAAATGGATCCTTGACCACGAAGGAGCCTCAGTAACACAATTGGATCTCGGTCAGAGGCACCCTTGTCCTTAAGTAAACAAGCAATGCTCTTCCTGGAATATAAAGCTGTAACAGCAAAGTCTCACCTTCTTGGTTCTTATAAGCTTGTGGTCCCTAAATTCAGTTAACTGGGCCCGAAGTGTCAGATCACTATTGACAAGGAATGCCTCCCGACACTGCTGGTAAAAATCTTGAAAAGCAAGTCCTGGAGAGTTGAAAAGCAGATGTGAACATAAGTCAGCATTTCGGATAGAACCCCATATACGGATACCCACATCAAAGAGCACAGAGATAAAGTGCTGTGGCCACAGTATTGCAAAGCAGTCATTAAGTGTTGATTTAAAACCAAGGTAAGTGCCTCTGGAAGAAGCAAAACTAGAGAATACTGTGGCTTATATTTTTTAAACAAAAATAATTGGTTGAAAATAGGCAACTGTGACCAAATGTTGCATAACCCTACAGGCAGTTTTAAATAGTGTGAATAAAGTTGACTATTAAAGAGGGAACTAACAAGTAAGTCATGAGAGCTGAACGATTATTAAAATGTTTAACATATTATTTTTACTCAAAGGGAAAAAAATCTCCCAAGATGCCCAATGTATGAAATGTATGTAATTGGTAGACACACATCCATAATTAGCACACGAAATTTAAAAAGCAAGCGGGGTTTGCTTCTCAATAGGGTTGTGAGGATATTTGCTATGTGGCAGACACCAAGATCACAGAGCAAACCATTTATTCACTGCTGTGAAAAACTGCAGTGCTATTAGATTCCAGAAAAAGGAATTTATGGGGTGAAACAAAAGTGACACAATTTAATATAAATATTGAATACCTAGGTAAGAAGGGTTATCCTGGTTATCCAGCTGATACTTTATTAGTAGCCTGAAAATCCCCCTAGGGAGAAAAACACACAGGAGCTCAAATCCAGAATGTTAACATCAAAAGATAACAGCTAGTAGTAAAGTACATGAAGGGAATGTGGAATACTTGGCTTGTCTATGTTAGCTTCTGTTCCTTTCTCCAAGGAATATTACATACTGGCCTCATCATTGATGTTTCTATCTCTCTCCCTTCCTCTCTGAAATCAATAAAAATTAAATAAATGAAAGAGACCTGGGTTCTAGCCCTAGCTCTACTACTAAGTAAGTAAGT